TCTCGATCTGACCACCACCGCATTTTCCCAGCACCGATAACCAGTAAACCAATTGGGAGGTCGGATCGAGTGGAGCGGCTTTCTTGTCACAGTATACACAGCAGTGAGTAGATGAAGTGGTATAAAGTCGAAGAGGAGTCGGACCTGCTAGTGCCACTGGCACAGTGCAAGTCAGCGGCGATATCCATTTAATTACGTAATAATCCAGGCCCTTCCCCGAATTCATCGACCAACGCGGCCTTTACCCATCCACCAGCCTCTGTGCTGTTCCAACACCTTCGCCGGCCCCTAATCTCCTTGGAGATATTTTTTGACCAGCATTGCGACCTCTGGTCGACCCTATCTCTCTCACCTTTCGCATCGTTCCATCGCCTTCTCGGCTTCAATCGATTGCATCTCTGCTGTATAATTGGAGCTCGAAGTCTACCGCACTCCTTCTCTTGGACGGCGACAAAGCTCATGGTCTCTCAGGCACCGCTTTCCAAAAACCCACCACTTTCCTACGCCGACCGCGCCAAAAAAGCGCAGAATGCGGGGCAGAAGTCTTCGTCCTCGCAGCGCGTATTCAGCCAAGCCATGTCGACAGGAGCTACCAGCACTTCCAATATTGCGACCTCTGGCCCCAGCACGATTCCCAGAAACGAGGGAAACGCGGTCGAGTCTCCATCACTAGCTGCTGTTCCACCTGCCTCCTCTCCCCAGTCTGTTTCGCCCCTGCCTTCACAAGTCAATGCAAACGGTGACGTAAAACACCCCGTGAATGACTCGCTAGCTGCGGGTCCGCCTGCGCAGACAGAAACTTTCCCGACGTCTGCTTCTATTTCCGACTCAATTTCTCCTCAACCACCTGCTGTGAACGTCTGGAATCTGCGCAAGGAGCAGATGGCACAGGCTCGCGCTCGATCTAATCACAACTCAATACAAAAGCCTTTATCTAGTGCGAACCATCCTCCACTGCAAGAACCTCATTTACGCGGATCATCAATTCTGCAGGAGCAAAATACGCGCATCGGAACGGCGTCCTCGAGTACATCACAACCTGTGGTGACTGCAGGGCCGGCTGCTGCAGCTGGAAGGTCTGCGCAGTCGATGACAAACGGAAATGGTGATGCGCATAGCGAGGGGAGCGAGGCGGCTGTACTACGACCACAAGCGCGCGCTCTGCAGGTCGCTGATGATGAGGAGAATTGGCCAGAGGTTGGGAAGATGGTCAGCCAGGCGAGCAGTGTGAGTGGGCATGTCGAAGGGGAACAAGCAGGAGGGTATGAACGGGACACATCGCGCGAGGGGTCTCAAGGGCACGCTGCATCACGGAAAAGTGCGTTTTTCCTATTTGCCCCTTATCAAACTCTCCGCCCTGTCCTCTTTTTATGTTTCTCCGGATCTTTTGTGCGGCAATGGGAACAATTTACTTATGGGTACTGATCCTGGCGCATCGGCGCCCGGCGTTGTTCAATAGGTGAAAAAACGAAATGGGTACCAATACCTCCTGCCGAGCTACAAGCCGCCGCTGACGCCGCGCGTTCACAACAACCTCGACATCGTTCGCAACATTTGCATCACCACCAGTCCCATTCTCGACATGCCCAGACCGCCTCAGGGTCTGCGTCATCTGCGTCAGGCTCGCAGGGACAAAGTCGTACGCACTCGACAGTGGGCACGAGACAGCTTATCTCTAGTTCGCACGCAAGCTCTGTTTCCCATTCGCAGACAGGCAGCGCACAATCAAGTCCTCCTGCTGGTTATGGGCGTGGGGGACGACATTTGCCTGAAGAAGGTGTTGCAGGACCGCCGACAAGTTCAAATGCAGCCAGCAAGAGCGTCAGTATGAGACCGTCAAGGGCAGGCTCACCACAGGCGTTTCAAACGGTTTTACCACCCCCCGAATTCGTCCCTAATAGTATGATGGGATATCGAGCTCTACCACCGAGCCTAACTCGAAGTGGACCAAGCCCTGCTGAACACATTCAAGATCCAAGTAGTATGAACAATACCATGCCCCCGTACTATGCTTCTCCCCCTCCTATACCACCACCTGTCAGTGCTCAGCGGTCGTATCATTCACCACACTCTTCTGGATCGCCTGTACAGCCTCCGTACCCGCTTCAGCCACATGCACCTGTACCGCATATGTACGGCGCTCCCAGCGGACAAGGTCCGATACACCTTCCGTACGCAGGCACCCCGCCCTATCCAGTGTATCCCTCGTACAGCTATGGCTATCCACCCTATATGTACTGGTCTGCAGGCCCAGTTTCGCACTCGCCTGTTGCTCCGGACGGTGTGCCGCCGGCCACAGTGCTGATGCGGCCTCCGCCGCAGACCGACGCTGACGTAACGGGATACCGCGATACAGGTTTCGTGCTTCCACCGCCGGCAACGTATGATCGACCTAGAGAGAAGTCCGAAGGGGGTCTAGATACTGGCGGCGACAATGGTTTCGAAAGAGGTCGAAGAATACGTGAATTAAGCTTTGGCAGCATTGGTGCTACGGTTGACTCTGGCAGTCCCGGACCACCTATCGCGCTGCCGACTCAGTCGGGTGTGCTGGGTCTGGATGTTGGAAGATCTAAAGAGGTGGAACAGGAAGGGAGTGACACGGATAAGCCCATTCCACCGTTCGCTATTGGCGTTGCTCCTGGAGAGTCGGGCCCCGCTCGCATACGGTCACGCACACGCACGACTTCTAAGGGCCCTACATTGGCACCTGGTGAGGCATTTTCCGTAGCAATATCCACGACAGAGCAGTCCGGGCCAGTGCAAGCTGGCGAAGTGGATACAAGCAATGCAAGCACAGTGGTGAGGGGCGGTGAAATGAAGTGGCAATTCGGGTCGACCGTAGAGGCCGAGGAGTATATTGACATGGGTGGAAGAGGAACAGATGCTGTTCACGCGTTGCCGGCGAACACGACGATGGGTTCAGATTCGCTCGTCTCGGAGGCGGGGGAAGTCGTCCCAGTAGTGCACGTTGATGGGACAAATCACGTTCCGCTGCCCCTTGAAGGTCATGATATGACTGTGACGAATGGTCTGGCTACGGCGCACTCACCCTCCTACGGGCATTTGGCGCCTCCATCTACTTCGGATCCTGGCTCTCCTGATGACTTGAGGGTGAAAGATTATGGATTTGGGTTTGGGCGTAAGCCTGGTTACCAGCCCTCACCGACTAGTGAAGAGCGGGGCACACGAGACAAACGGGACTGGCAGGATAGAGAGCCAGTTTATGGACGCCCCAGGCGCGGGTCGCTTGGTGGAGGCTTCGGCTACGATCGTGGTGGACACGATCGCGGTGGCTACTCTGGGCGAAGGGGACGTGGGATGGGATATGCTGGGAGGGGAGGTTATCATTCGCGGGCACATTCGCGGGGTGGAGGGGCATATCAAGCAGGGCAGGCACGCCAGCCACCGTTTATTGTTCAGCCCGCTCTGCAGCCATTGCAGACCGACATGAACGGCTTCTATTCGCATCCGCCGCCGCAGATGACGACTTACTATACGCCTACACCGACGTACGAGACTTACCCTGCTGCATACTCTCCTGTTTACCCACCTCCCCTGCAATCCGCATCATCGGCACCTCCGGTGCCGCAGCCGCAATCTCCGTTGTCATTCCCGCTGGATCCTACCCGATACTTTCTGCTTGGCCAGCTGGAGTATTACCTCAGTCCGCAAAACGTTGTGCAAGACTTCTACCTCCGCCAACAGGCAAGAATTCAATATTTTCAACCACTATTCTTGCTAATCGCTTACTATCGCAGATGGATTCGCGTGGGTGGATATCGATCCCACTCCTCGCGTCGTTTAAACGCATTCAGCAGCTTACCATGGATCTGTCGTTGGTCACTGATGTCCTGACTCTCTCAAGTCTTGTTGAAGTCCAGAGTGGACACGTGCGAATGCGACAATGGGAGCAGTACGTGCTCCCTAACGCTTCTCAGAGTACTGTCGAGGAAGCAGAGATTCAGCAACAGCCTCAAGAGATGGCGCAGCAGACTTCTGAGGCAATTTTCCCTTCCAAAGGACCATCTTCAGAGATTGAGGAGTGTGATGAAGGGGAAGACGAGGAAGAAGAAGATGTGGTTTTCGTTCTTGAAAGGGACTAGCCCTCAAGTACACCACCAAACACCTATGACTGACCAACCACATACTCTCCAGAGAGTATGGCCTCACGTAGGATATCGTGTTTCGCAAAATGCAACGTCTCGCTCAACGAAGCATGTATAGATCCGCCTTCGCGAAGAACGCTGATGGTTTTCGCTTTCTCCGTATTATCAACTTCCGGACACTGTTTTTCCCCATATTTGTGTGTGTCTGCTATCGTATTTGCCACAGGTTATTGCAACGACAACTATCTCATCGCACACATATCGCATCTGACCCACGCTGAGCTACTTTCTTTTTCTTGGGCTTTCCGTATGTTATATTAATACCTCGCTGCGCCACGCGTACCATAGGTGTATTTTGTTTGCTGCTGCGAGCCTGCTCGACTCCCTGAAACAATCGTTCGTACTGCACTTTCCTTTGCACGATTTTTTTTCCTGTCGTAAATGATTTATCACGATTATGTTTTGTTACTTGTGGTTTTACTCCAGAAATTACTCATGGCAACGCGCCCATTTGGCTCTGTCCTAAGCTCTTGGAACATCCCGGTGTGTTTGGCACAAATTTGAAACGCATATTCCCTGGTCTGGAAAATCGAAGCATTCAAATCATCCAATATCTTCCGAGGCAGAATCCATCTAATGTATCTATGGTGCGAAACCGACTGCTGAAGTACCATGAGTCCTGCAGGCAACGCAGGGATCATATTCGAATGAATCGAACTGATCGAGGACGTAGTTACCAGGAACTAAGGGCTCGACTCTACCCGTTGCTGGTCCGCTTTGGTCATGGCGCACACAGCCGGCGAGACCAACGGTGGCGCCGTCGCCTTCACTCGCCCCATATGGACCAATCCGTGTCTCGTTATCCGTTGCCGGTACGTAAGTTTATGTTCGGCATGCAGGCGGTTGCGGCATGGGTGTCGTACACACAGCGCCCTTCTGGGTAAATTGCTTGACGACTGGACAAGGCAACGAATACGCTAAGCTCACAGGCGTAGCATACTGAGATTCGAGGGGCCCCCTTGCTATCTGTTGAAAAGGCTTCAAGTAGCGCTGGTGTGCCGCCATCAAATGTGCCAACGAGAGTCGGCCCAGCCATTGATCCGTATCGTACAATCGCCCAGGCCCAGGTACGCATCATGTCTCATCTAGTTGCCAGAGAGCACTGACGCATGCTCTGCGTACAGGCCCTGGTTTGCCCTAGGCATGGACGCCTATGACTTACGGAAGCTGAGCAGCGTCCGCTGTTGTCGTGTGCTTAAAAACCACACCTCCTGCGGCGCATGGCGCAGGTTTTGTCACCCGAGGTTTCAAGCTCAGATTACTATCAGAGTTTTACCTAGAAGGCTAGAAACATGTCAGCATGATTGGCAATTGGCTGCACCCCGTCGCGTACAAAGCGTTGATCTCAGTAGCGATCGCGCCCGTCAAGTGCACCCACCCCGGTCTGTCCGGCATACTTTATGTGCCTCGCTACATAACCACCACTTCTTTTCGATCGCTTCCGTTCGTGCAGGCTTCATGCGCTGGGGCAAACCCGCTTCTCCCACCACGCCTGAGGTGTGGCCTCCTCACCCGCCTCCTGGCGAGACGGACCTCGAGAGAGCTGTTCGTCTGGAAGAGGAAAAGGAGGCCAAGCGAATCTCGGATGCCATTGACCACGACCTTGAGTTGGACAAGGTGGAATGGCGCAAGCGAAAGTACCACACGAGGATCCTGCTACTGGGTACGCACTGCATGTTCCGCTAGGGTTTATCAGTGATAGCTCACGCCTGCCTTATGGTTCCCGTCGCATTTATCAGGGCAGGCAGAGTCGGGCAAGTCGACTATGCTGAAGAACTTCCAACTGCATTTCACTCCCGAGACGTTTCATGCCGAGGTGGAGGCATGGCGTGCAGTCATTCATCTCAACCTCATTCGCTCAGTCAATTTCATCTTGGACCTTCTACCAAATTCTCGCGCGAACACCGCGTGGACTCCCGATCCAGGTGCCAATTATCTTGCGCGAAGCTCCCCCCTCGACAAGGGTTTCCAGCAGCTTCGAATGCGGCTGTCCCCCCTGCGCCAGGTAGAACAGATTCTCGTGCGGCGTCTTTCGGCAGACGAGTCCGCGCACAGTGTCTCGGAAGTGGAAGAATCGATGCCATGGTATTACGGACGGGCTTCCGAAGTATCTGTTCGAGGCGGATCGGGCTGGAAAGCTCTCATCCGCAGACGATACGCGTCGCCCCCAAACATACGCCCAGACGAGATGGACAGCGCGCGACAGATTCTGCATGCGTGTCGGGAGGATATTGTGGACTTGTGGACTGACCCTCTCATCCAAGCGGAGCTGAAGGTGGAGGGCGTTTCGCTGCAGGAACAGTCTGGATTGTACGACCCTTTTCCTTCGACTTTCCTTGTGGTTGATGTGTCTTCTCTTCTCTCGTGTATAGTTTCCTGGACGAGGCTGCGCGTGTGGCATCTGCGAACTATGAACCTACATTGCGTCCGTCCTTTTTGTATGTATTCCAAGAATATTGCTGTAACTATTGTGCAGATGACATTCTTCGTGCTCGACTGCAAACGATCGGGGTCGAAGAGCACACCATGACTGTGGAGAAATGTAGGTATCACATACTAGTGAATGTTCATTGTTGAAGTGGCTAACCGTCCAAAAGTTGGAGAGGCAACACAACATTGGATATTCTATGATGTCGGCGGTGCACGTGGACAACGGGGTGAGTAAATCAGTTCCAACTCAGATATATGTGCGGTACTTACTAAGTTTAACATAGCTAGTTGGGTGCCATACTTCGATGATAGTATGTGTTGTGGTATTTTCGAGAGTCTTACGCTGAACCTCGTTATAGTCAACGCTGTATTATTTTTATGCCCTATGTCTGCATTCGACGAGGTACTCCTAGAAGATCGAAGTGTTAACCGACTGGTGCGCATATACCCTGTCAGTAACTGTTGTGATCCGCTGAACATAATTATCTCTTCACAGGCAGATTCCTTTGATCTATGGAAAACGATTTGCACAAGCAAATTGCTAGCGATGACCACATTTATACTACTTCTCAATAAGAGCGATGTGTTGAAAGCGAAGCTCGATGCCGGAATCTCGTTCGCGCGATACGTGAAGAGCTACAAGGACGGTCCCAATGACTTCGAGAACGTCTCTTCATGTTTGTAACGGTCTCTTGCTAGCAAGAATAACTGAATGCTTACTACTTCTTGTCTGTAACAGACTTGAAACGTAAATTTATTGCGATTCTCCAACACTACTCGCCCAAGGAGCGACAGATGCACGTACATTTGACATGTGCAATCGCAAGTATTTCATCGCGCGCAAAACAGTTCAGAGCTAACTGCCCGTGTCATCTAGGATATTAACACGACAGCGCTTGTGATCACTCGCAGTGAGTAACATGCATCTTACATTCCCCTCCCTTGCGCTTACCTTGCTTGTGTACAGTTAAGGAAGCGATCATCGTCAATAATTTAATCTCGAGCGACTATTTATGAGTAATTCATATATCTGAATGATCTTTCGTAAAAGTATTCCACTTGTATATTATACACCTGCCTTTTCACGTGAACTGTAGCCGCATGTTCCTTTCGCTGACTTCGACTTACGATATCGATAGTGCAGTCTAGTGGACCGTGCTTGGCTCTTCGGTTGGTGACATGGGATGATACTACTATCTTCAATCATCCAAGAAGTTCAGCGCGCGATGCTTCTACTGTTTCGCATTGTAGTTGTCCGTCTTTGTATTTAACCTGGCCTTGGCTACTGGGATTTATTCTTGGTATACTTTACAGCAAGCCTTCTACCCTGTGCCGGATGCCGAGCGCACGTCGCGGCCGGGTTTAAATGATACACACTGGTTTACTCTGGCGAGTCTGATGACGGCGCACAGCAGCAGGCGCCGGGCGGCGGCCTATCGGGTACGTCGGGATTTCCTTATTTGAGATTTACTGTACCTAGTCACGTCTCGAGCAAACAGAGGATGAATTCCTTTGTACTTGGATTTCATCGAATTGCGCTCCAAGATACACAATCTAGCTCGTGCACAAACAACTGGTATGAAAAGCTGGAGCCGTCTGTGTAGTCGAATCGTTTCGTGTGCTCTTAGACTGGCAGCGGTCGATAAACGGAACGCGGGGCGGTGATGGTACGTGTGAAGCGTAAGACGCGAACCGCATGCAAGACCACGATAAGCACTAGGTGTCCTATCCAACTCAAGTTCATTTATTTATGGAGATGCTATCCAATGGCCATCAAATCAAGTACCAATCATCTTGACGAGCAGACATGAGAATGTCCTCGTTCTGAGTTGTTTGCTCTGCTCGCTCTGCACTCATATTCAATCGACGTCGCTCCCGCCCATCACCCGTCCTTGCACGCCGTGTCATGCCTCTCGTCCTTACATTCTCGGAGAATAACCCACTAGACTCGACTATCGTCGACGAGAGCACGTACGTTCCGACTCCTCGCTACGAGACATTCACCACCAAAGTGACGGGCGGCCAGAAGAAGACGACTTTGTGGGCGCTGGCCCCATCGCGCAGCATCGTAGCGGAGGTGGAATGGGAGCGGTCATTCAAGTCGGGCAAAATCACGATGGAGGGCCGATGCATGGAGATGGATGCGCTGTTGCTTGGAGGCGGCTTTTTTAGTCGAACGTGCGTTCACGTTCTTGGGAACTCGTTCACTCAGACATTCAGGTTCGTTGTGCACCCCGCAGTATACGTAAATTTCAGCTTCCCGGAGGGCGACTGTACAAATGGAAGCAATCTGGTGCCGTGGATCTCAAAGTGAGCATTGTCCGTCATTCTTTCGTGCGCGATCGATCTGACTGTCTCCTCACTACCGATGGCGGATGCAGCTTGTCAACCCGGAGGATGGCTCTCTTATTGCGCGTTCGTTGCACGCCAAGTTAGGGATGTTTGAGGAGCAACGAGACTTGACTCTAGAAATCTCGGATAGAGGCCTGGCCTCCCTCAACTTGATCCTGCTCACGTTTCTGTTGGTAGAGCATCTCGCAAGAGAGCAGCGCCGCGCGTCTGCTCGTATGAATCCCGTCAACAATATCAACAGCCTCAACATGATCAATACAATGAATGTCATCAATATGACCAGTATATAACAAGTAGGCGCTTCAGCTAAGAGTGTGAAGGGACTATAAGTACGACGGACATTTCGATAATGTATAGGTACGGGAGAGCGTTGATTGGGTCGGTCTCTAGTTCCACGTCGCTGGATACACACATCTAGATTGTATGTACGCGCTCCCTGTGCACAAGCCCAACAATACGACCATCTGACAGACAGCATTCTTCAGCTTGTCAGATTTATACCCTTGTCATCTTGCGCTGACGAAGGGAATTATGTGGGATCGGGCCAATCAAGCACTGCCTCGACCTTCATGCATCATGAGGCTGTGCTGGGAAATGGTCTCGAGCAGTAGCAGTGGCACAGGACGCCATACATAGTAGCGTGAGTACTTTACCCCTGCTGACGCAGGTTCAAAGCTGCGTTGTCCGGGGTTGTTCCTCATTCCTGACTTTCCTCTATTGCAGTCCCCTTTGAAACACCTCATGCCTCTCACTCTGACATTCTTGTGCAACGACCCGCTGAACACCATTATCGTTAATCAGTCGAGTGGCCAAACTAACCATCGATATGAAGTGACTTCCATCGAGCTTGATGATGGAAAACGAAGGACTACACTGACAGCTCTGACTCCGATCCGCAGAGTCATTGGTAACATAGAGTGGAAGGGACCACTAATTTCTGGCCTGCTCACTGCTACCGTGAAGGGGCGACGTATTACAACATCTTTGCCACCCAGAGGCTGTTTGAATCGAATGTAAGCCTATGTCTTCGTGATTCAACAAAGAGCTGATTCCTACCGTACACATATGGTAGTATGTTCATGCTCTGCTTCATGGGCAGGCGGCATTTCAAATGGAAGGCCTCGGATGGGGGGAAATTTGTGGTAAATTCCATGCATGTCCACTGTTCTAGTTTGAGCCGACACCTGTTTCCTGCACATAGCTCGTGGACTGCAGCAACGGATCTGTGATTGCGCGCTATTGGAGTACCACGTCAGCGCTCTCTGAGAAGGAGCAGATATCGACACTTGAATTGGGGGATAAAGGTTTTCCCAGTCTCAACCTCATCCTCTTCACATTCGTGTGGGCGTACATTAAATGGCAGCACCATACTGCCTTCCGCGTCAAGAACATGAATATGAATTGATGAATAATACTACCACACCGAGTACGATTATGTGAAGGAGCCTGTTGCCTCGCTGTACTACTTGAACTTAATAGCACAAAGCTTGCAGAAGTACCTGAAGTTGTGGTTCTGATTGCAACTTGACATGACTGTAAGTTGTCTCAGAATCTTCTGTGC